ACTGTACAGTTGTAGCATTTTTTTTTCAGCTGTGGGTTCCAATCTATGGAATTTTGAGATTTTTCAGCTGTGGGTTCCAATCTATGGAATTTTGAGATTTTTCAGCTGTGGGCTCCAATCTATGGAATTTTGAGACTGAGATTGAGATTGGAGCTCTAAGTACAACCCCTTCTCTGTAGGAGTGGCATCCATGTCAGATGAGTCGTAGCTAGCTACATCTGACAAAATATATTCTAATTAATAATTTTCTAGGTTGTCGATGCCATTCTATGAAATGCTTCTTCTGAAAGATACCACAGAGTTGCCTTTGAGGACCTAGCTCCTACATCTCTAGGAATTTTCTGGGTCCTCCAGAGTAACTGTGTAGTAACTTCCAGGAGAAGACAGTGTAACTTATAGAAAGGTTCATGAAGGTACTCTCTTTTCCACATGATTTTTCCCCATGACATGTTAAGGAACATATCCCCCATATGGGGGTTATACTGCATTTAGAATTTAATGCAAGTTCACTGTAGTGTCTTCTCAAACTACATAGACAATGATTTTACAGGATGCAGTCAAGGCTGTTAAAGTAGAATCAAAAATCCTATAATTGTGCAGTGTAAAGGGTATCTAACATGGAGGCATCATTCCACCTCGTGGAATATTGCTTGATTGCTCTAATTTGCTTACGTACAAAGCTACGACAAACCAGTACAGAGCATGGTCTCAAAACTGGTGAATCAAATAACAAAGACCAGGCAGGTTAATTCACTGTAATTCTGAGATTGCGTACAAGCAAAATGATCCACTATTTTGTGACCACATCCTTGCTAGTGGCAGAGATAGAAAATATGACCTTGGGGAAGGGCTTCTCTCAGTCCCGTCTCCATCACAGAAAGAGAGAATTTCTTTTCGATTGTTATTTATTTGAATTGTTGAGTTGCTTGTCTGAAGCAGGAAAATGGAACAACTAAGCAACAATTTTTGGGTCAAGGGTGTTGAGAATATTGAAACACCACTGTCCAGCCATCATAGGACATCTCCTTCAAGCTAGCGAAACACTAAGGATTCTATAGAAATATCCCAAAAGTGGTTGCTCTCTGAAAGAGAGAAAGTGGAAGAATTTAATGTCTCCTTCACTGAGTGAAAAGACAAAATGGACAATTCAATACATCTGAGGAAAAGAAGTGTGTCCTAGGATTGCCAGAGCTCTCCTAATCTCTAGAGGTCAAAAACATCTGGAGGGTTA